CCATTGCCTCATGGGAACCAGAGTCTTAACTTCTGCCTTTTTCTTTACTCTGAGCACACTCAACTCAGCATTTTAGCCTCACTACTTGTTTAGTGCTTTTTTTTTTTTTTTACAAAGAAAGTTATTTTAATTTTAATATTTATCTTTTATTCATGTGTACTTATATGTGTTTATATGTCTGTTTGTATGCCATGTGTGTGTGGATACCCACAGAGAGCATCAGTTTCCCTGGAGGTAGAGAGTTGTGAGCATCCTAAACTGAGTGCTGGAACTGAACTCAGGACCTCTGGAAGAGCAGAAAGTGCTGCTAACTTTGAGTCACCTCTCCAGCCGCCAAAGAAGGAAAATTTCAGGACTCTGTTCTTTGTTTAGAGTGAAGGAATGCCTGGAAACAAGGACGCATAGTCTGGACAGATGCTCCCAACAGGGAATAAACCTCTAAGAGATACTGCCTTATGAGGCTGTATGTGCTAGTCACTACATAATTCTGGGTGGAATATAAAATGCTTAATATCATTCTAGAAAGAACTGAAAGAAGGCAGGCCTTAAAATGACACACCTGGCTGAAAACAGGGCTAATAATGTTGCTGTTCTCAACCTGAGGCCTTAGCTGCTGTTGCTATTGCAGTGTGTGTGTGTGTGTGTGTGTGTGTGTGTGTGTGTGTGTGTGTGTGTGTCTGTGAGAGAGAGAGAGAAGGAGGGAGGGAAAGCTGTATTTCTGATTATTTGGTTTTGTTGTAGCAGCCTGGTAACAGGAAGGTTCCTATTTAAAGGTTATGTAGGAATGTGCTTGTTAGAACCTGTCAGTTCCAGATAAGCCAGTGTGATATCTTTTGAGCTGTGAGCTGTGAATCTCGGGGGCTCCCATGTTATCATCATATGATGTAAGAGTATACAGTTAATATATAGTTAACCAGCTACCTTCTAAGATTCCAAAATGGGTAAGGTAAAATAAAACGAAATAATGAAACATCGTGAGCCTTACTAGAGGTAAAGCAACAACACAAAGACACTCCACTGAGAAGTTCAGCAAGGGGGTTGGAGAGTTTCAGCTTCAAATGACTAAACTTAGATTACAGTTCCAAGAGCTGCTGTAAGGTTTGAATGAGGGACTCTGGAACTATTCTACCCAGGCACTGAGACAAATCACCTAACCTCCCAGTGTTTCTCCATCTGTAAAGTGGGGCATTAGTGGCACACACGCCATTGGGGCATCGTATGTGTTAGCTGGAAATTCCTATTATAGAGATGCCTAGTTTGTGAGTACTTAGGTAATATTTGCTGTTGTTAATATAATGAAGAAGTACTAATAACTTATGTATAAGTAGTCACCATTATTTAATTATAACCACCTATTAATTTATTTAAATACCAACCATTTTGCTTTGTTAACACTACCAAGGGATGAATGAATGTTAGCCTGAATAACAACTGGAACTAGTAAAGAATCAGGGTAGTAATCCTGTATTTTCATTCAATATTCAGATACTAAATTCACTTTAAATTCTACACAGTATCTTAGAAGCAGCCGAAATGTTCCTTCTCTGTTCATGTTGCTGGACATAGTTTCTCTCCTGGGAACACCCAACCCAGAGTACTTCATGTTTTTAAGTGCTATGGACTGCATTTCTTACTCATAGAGTACTGTAGGCAGAGGGCAGACCTTGTCTGTGTTATCCCAGGCATGTGCCACGTGTCTCACCCTTTTTGGAGGTGTTTGAGGAAGCATCTTTAGGTTCCATAAAGGATGGAGGACAACAGGTGACCCTAACAATACAGGAATATGGATACAGATTTAATCTGAAGGATTGGAGATGTCAAGATGCCCTGTCAGTAAAATCTTGATTTGTGCTCATAAGTTAAAGGGTCAAGATGACAAGTGTCTGGCAGCTTGTGACTGAGGGCTCCCAATGGGAGGCTGAGGCTGGTGGTCAACTGGAATATTAACAAAGCACTTCCAGTTTTTCACCAGCATATACATACTTTTTATATATTTACCTGTCTCACTTTTTAAAATGTGAAACATTATTTGGAATGTTTTCTAGTTAACAGCCCACTGAATCACCTTGCCGATTGTAGATAGTGCCTGGGTTCATTACAACCCAAGTCTACTGCGTAGATCAGTCTGACCATCATTTGTCATTCTTCTCTTGATAACGTGCTTTGTAGTTGCACATTGTTCTTTCTTGACTTTTTAACAACTTTTTATTTCCTCAAAACCAAGCAAGAAGATAAGTGGCTGGTGTGCTATTTTGGACCCCTGGGGAGCAGACCACTTATCAAGGACAATCAGAATAATCCATATCATTAGAGACTGTGCCTAGAATATAAAGTTAGGTTTCTGTCAAAAGAAATACTCTCTTTTGTTGACTAGAACAAGTTTGAGAAGCTTTCTAAGTGGGTATACAGACCTTCTGTGTAGGTCTGTGAGTTTGCCTGAGTATCTGTCAAACCACCATTACCTGTCATTCATGTTCTATTTTGACAATACTTTATTGATTCTTTTACTCTCTGCAACAAAATATATAGGTTGTTGGGTACCTTTTATATTTATGCTTTATTATTTCTAAATTGAAAGGGAATTCAGTTGTTATCAAATTTTATTTTGAAACTCTGTGGTATAGAAGCTTTTATTTTGTTCCTGACATATAATAATAAAAATTCAGATTTCCATGATTTACACAAACCAGGGCTGCTGAGATAATTACCAGGGATTAGCAAGGCAGATCACCCTGTTTATGAGCAGAGATGCCAGTAGCAGGTGATTTCTGTTTGACAAGCTGTGGGGTGTTATTCACAATAAAAGACAAGCCAGCCTTGCCAAAGCCTATGTCTAGTGCAATAATAATCTGCTAAAGGCACTCCGTCTAAGCTGTTCATTTGCATAGATGTTCACAATCTTACCTGGAGCTAGGCATGATTAATTGTATTTACCTCTTTTCAAATGATTGCAATGATACTGAATTTACTAGGTAAGTGCCTGTCTTAAGAGCATACTATCTGACTAGAAGCAAATGGATGTGAGGAATCAGTTCCTTTGTTTACATTGTGTGTGTGTGTGTGTGTGTGTGTGTGTGTGAAGGAAAAAGAGATAGGAGTTGAATTTGAGAGTGATACTCTAGCCATACCGCATTCTAGGAGTAATGTTTGAATCAGGGACTGATGTCCATTGGAGTAAGGGTTCTGAGGTTCCAGTATAAATCAGGGAGACGTGTGTACTCAGTTAAACCTAACAAACACATACAGAGAGTCTGCTATGAGTCAGGCATAATTGGGTAATGGAAAATAAGGATGGGCTGTTCACAGTCCTTGTTATCAGGTTGCTTGTGGCTGCACAAGGAAGGATATATGAAGAAATAAAAAAATACGTAGCTCAAAGTATTAAATGCTTGTCAAAGGCATGCACAGTAACCATGAAGTGTAGGAAATGCGTGCAAGATCCATTTGAGACAGGAAGTAATCGAAGAAGGCTTTTTTGAAGGATCTGAAGTCTCCTTAGTTGACTTATAAAAGGAGTAAGTAGTGATAGATGGAAAAGGGCACTATACAGGAAGGAGGGGGTTATCCAGAGGCTGAGGGTCAGAAGAAAGTGGGAGCAAAGAGGTGCACATTGTGTTGGAAAAAACTGTGAAATCATTCTATTGAGTGTAACATAAAGTTAAAGGTGGAAAGAATTTATATAGAAGAAAAGAATTCAAGAAATATTCACTACATTAAAAGATAGGCAAACCTGGAAACTGTGACCTAAGGGAACGAAACAATAATCAGTCCCACTCTGTGGCTCAGGCAACGTCAGAGCTGCCATTAGCCCCAAGCATGTCACTCTTCTTTTCGGTAGGTCTGTGCAGGGGGAAGCAGGACAATGTGTGCTGAGCACAGCTGGATTCCAGCCTCTGCTGTCTAGCAGTGTGCAGGCAGAACACTGTAAGAAAGATAGTATGAGAGCTCTTGAGGGGCAGTGATGAGCTTGGCTGTCACGTTTGTCAAAGACAACTAAATCTGTCTTAGGACTGGCAATTTCCTGAATATTGCAAGTTAGCTGTTGAGGCTAGGTTTTAGAATAGTATCTTCTGGGCTACATGCATATCTGTGGCACGTGCATATTACTGATGCTTGCTTCTCATCTGGTTGCCCTGCGAGGTAAAAAGTCTCACTTCAAATCACTTTTCAAAGAATCTTGACTGCTTTATGCTGATATGCTGAAGAACTGTCCTGATGGTTGAATTGTTATACATTCAACCTGATTCCTGTTTTGGGGTGCCATGCTGTGTCTGATATCTTTCTGCCATGGCTCTTGTATACGGTCAGATCCTCTAATCACAGAGGCTGCAGAGAGGTACCAGTACATCCTAAGTCATCTAAGTAAACCAACCAACAGAAGCATTTATCATAGATAAGGCCAAACACAAGAGTATCTATTTTCTTATGTAAATTCTAGGTAGGAAACGAAATCTATCACCTTTCCCATTATTTTCATTCTTATATTAAAAGTTTTAAAACCAATCATATATATTTGTCAGCAGCTAATTATAATAAATAAATTTGTTAAGTATTTACATTACTTGGGTTCTTTGTTCTATAATAAAATACCTGAAGCTGGACACATTTTTAAAAGGCTTATTTAGCTCACAGTTCTTGTGTTCAAGGGCGTGTTCAAGGGCAGGGTCTGGCATCATCTTGGCTCTGGTGAAACTCTCAGGACAGACAATAACACAATGTTGGGATAATTTAGGGTGCCAGAGATTGCAGAGCCAGACCGAAAACCAGAGTGGCCAGGCCTACCTTTTCATGACAGCAACTATCTAGAACTGTGCGAAGCCTTTTTAAGGCTGGTAGCTCAAGTGAACCTGCTAAGCTGTGCTTTTAAAGGTTCTCTACCCATGAGCCCTTGCAGGACAAACTCCCGACTATCCAGACTGCGGCAACGTGTGTTTTCATTGCAATTGTAATTGCAAAGGGGGCGAACTCCCTCCAGTGTTTAATGTGCCACTGTTTTGCAGACAACTCTGCTAAGGAGCGCTGAAGTGGCGATGAGACAGCCCAACCGGAAGCGGAAGCTCATCATGGAGTCCAAAGAGCACGTGACTCAGGACGGGTGCTTGGTAAGATGTCAGCAGCCTCTGCATCCATCCTGCTGTTGGTGATCACAGCCGAAACCCACAGTGGAGTGGTCCCGCTGTTGTAATTATACCTGAGGGTTCCAGCTGCTCAAAGATACATGATTATGGATGAATTTTATACGTTATTCTAGAGCATAAGTATTCTTAATGTCTGGTATATTTTAAAAGTAAATCTTTTTTTCTTTTTGCTTTACTTTTAAACTGATACATCAAAACATAAAAATTATATATTGTATCATGTTGTTTTAGCATTTAATGTTTCAGTCAAGTTAAACATGTCTGTCTACTCAAACATTTGTTGTTTCCTATGCAAAAATGGGTGTGTTTGTACATGTTCCTGTGTGACAATCAGCAGGCCACTTTAGGTGTTGTTCCTTAAACACCTTCCATGTTTTGTTTGTAGCAGTGTCTTAGTCACTGTTCCATTGCTGTGAAGAGACACCATGACCAGAGCAACTCTTATAAAGGGAAATATTTAATAAATAAAAAATTAATTATTTAATTTAATCCAAGGTTGACATTGTCATCATGGCGGGGAGCCTGGCGGGGAGCATGGCGGCATACAGGCAGACATGGTGCTGGAGAGTAGCTGAGAGTTCTACATCTAGATCCACAGGCAGCAGGCAGAGGAAGAGATACTGGGCCTGGCTTGAGCATTTGAAACCCCAAAGCCCACCTCCTCAGTGACACGCTTCCTCCAACAAGGCCACACCTACTCCAACAAGGCCACACCTACTTCAACAAGGCCACACCTCCTAATCCCTGACAAGTAGTACCAGTCCCTAATGACCAAGCCTTCAAACTTGTGAGCCTATGGGGTCATTCTTTTTCAAATTACCACAGACAGAGTCTCTCATTGGTCTGGAACTTTATCAGGAAGAGTCAGCTAGCTGGCCGATGAGCTCCAGGGATCTACACTCTCCAGCTTCTCTCTTGCTGTCACTGGAACTACAAGCCTTTGTACCACACACAGCTTTTAGTGGGATCTGAGCTCAGGTCACCATACTTTAAGGCAGTCAGTTTACCAACTGAACCAGTTTCCCTTGTCCCATTGGTTATTTCATTGGGGTAAAACTTTATTCTCCTTGCCTTCAATCTTTGAAATCTTCATTTCCTTTTCTCTAGTCACCCTCTGTGGGAATTTGAATGTCATTGGCCCCCATAATCTCATAGGGAGTGGCACTATTAGGAAGTGTGGCATTGTCGGAGGAAGTGTGTTACTGTGGGGGTGGCTTTGAGGCTCCCTATGTAGCTAGAGTTTTCCTGCCTGGCCCACAGTCAGGACAAATCTCTCTCACCTGCCAGTCCCACAGCCGCTCAGACCCGACCAAGTAAACACAGAGACTTATATTGGTTACAAACTGGCCATGGCAGGCTTCTTGCTAACTGTTCTTACAGCTTAAATTAATCCATTTCTATAAATCTATACCTTGCCACGTGGCTTGTGGCTTACTGGCATCTTCACATGCTGTTTGTCATCGTGGGAGCTGGCAGTGTCTCTCCCACCTTCCTGTTCTCTCAGTTCTCCTCTCTGTTAGTCTCGCCTATACTTCCTGCCTGGCCACTGGCCAATCAGTGTTTTATTTATTGATCAATCAGAGCAACAGATTTGACATACAAACCATCCCACAGCATCCCTATGCTTAGGATACTGTGCAGCTTTCTCAGTTGACTTCCTGTTGCCTGTAAGCCAAGATGTAGCCAGCACCACATCTGCCATGCTCCCCACCATGATGATAATGGACTGAACTTCTGAAACAGTAAGAGAGCCACTCCAATTCAATGTTTTACTTTATAAGAGTTGCTGTGATCATGGTGTCTTTTCCCAGCAATAGAAACCCTAAGTCACCCTTGGAGTAATGTTGCTTCAGAGCTTGCTCCTGTGTATCTAAGTGTTACTTAGAACCTGGGCATCAACTGTCCCAAGCACGCTCCTTCATTTCACTCTTCCCAGACTCTGGTAACCACTCTTGTTCTCTCAACTTACTTGAGAACAGGCTCTTCTAGATTCCACATGTAAATAAGATCACAGGGAACTTGTTTTTGTTCCTGACTTGTTTAAGGTGTCACAATACCATTAATCAGATTTATATGTGGAAAGAAAACAAATTTTTTTTTACAAAGATACAGACAAATTGGATATTATCAAGAAAGGAATGGAGATTATGAACTGCAGAGGTTTTATTAGAGGTCTCTAGAGAATCACAACTAATGCTATATCTATCCATCCCTCCACCCATCTGTCTATCTAGAAATCTATGTAGAGAATTATTTAAGGATTTGGCTCATGCAATCATTGTGACTACCAAGCTGAAAATCTGTATGGCAGGCTGGAGGCCCAGGAAAGAGGTGCTACTGGAGGCCTGAGTCCCAGGTTTGTTTGGAGACGGACTTCTCAGTGACCTCTGCCTTCTGTCAGGGTCTCCAATGTTTTGAATGTGCCCTTCCCAGATCTGCTTTTCATCAGCATCTACTGATTTCAGAGTTAACCTCACTTAAAAATATCTCACAGCAATATGGACACCTTGAAGTTATAACGTTTATCTCTACTTCTCTGGTCCATGCTGTTTCCTTAAGACAACTTTGTGCCTTGTGGAAACTTAAGGTTGGACAGAGTTGTCTGGAGACCCCTGTGGTGAATGTTTCTTTTTGATTAGTGGCTGAGATCTCCATAGACTTATTCTCTACTTTGACCAATGTTGAGTTTCTGCATAAACCACCATCTAGTGCTCCAAGAAGCCTCTCTGGTGGGTCTGAGTACTGCTAATCTATGGGTAGAGAGATATGAATTTAGAGGGCAGTTTGATATTGTATGCATGTAGCAGAGAAATAGTATTTGGTTTACCCCGGGGCCTGTGAACTCCCCAAGCATGGGTTATTAACTAAATTTACAGTACCAGGTATGTTGTTTTCTCTCCTGTGGGTAGGCCTGAAATCCATTCAGAAAGCAGTTGGTTAAAATCCATGCCGCTATTGTATCTGTGGACATGTTTTGCTATATCAGTCATTGATGTTCACAGGGCAAGACTTTTGATGATTTTCCCACCTCAGCAACCTACAGAGTAATACCCAGGACTATATAGCTTGTCAGCAGGAAGTTCTCTGGTCATTATTAAATTAGAATCTTCATGTTGTGTGGCCAAAATGTGTGGTTTTCATCAGGAATAGGGTATTTCCATAAGTTCTGGTGGGTAACCAAGAGCAATGATAATAGCCTGTATTGTTTGGGGGTGCTTCTGGGATACTCCTAATAAAAAATGAGTGGGCAGGTTATCCCATACCTGGTCCTGAGTTTTTCATTTGGTGACCTTCTAATGCATTTGTGTGTAGAGTTTTAAAGGGATTTATTTACATTTTCAAAAATGAGCATATGGTTAAAAAAGGCAAATACAGATAGACACTAAGGGAAAAGGGAAGATTTTTTTTAACCACAGTCCTCATACTTACATTGAGTATCAAGTATTTTCTGAATTAAGTATCAAATAATATTAAATATTTCCTGAAATATGTAACTACTACTACTAGTTTGTTGTATATCTATAAGAAATATAAACAAAAAGAAAAGTGAAACCCCCCACATCATATGTATATGTATATCACACATTCACAGTGCTTATCCTAAACAGACTAATATTTTACTTGGGCTTAGGGCCTTGGGCTTCCTCTGCAAGCACCTCATCACTGAGCTATGTCCCTTCCCCTACCCCCTTTTTGGCAGATATTATGCATACTTTGGGAACTCAGGTCTGTTTATTCTTTTTAGTGGTACATAGCATTCATTTTGAGAATGTGCCATGGTTAAAAAAAAACAAGACTGAATGTTTGTTTTCTAGTTGTTTTTTTTTTAAGTTAGTGTAGAAAGTAACAGGTTTTATAGTTTATTCATACATTTCTGTCAACTGTACGTAGTTCTAGTCTATCCCTGTCTACCACCCCCTTCCCTTGTGGCCCAGAGTGCCCCCTTCCCCCAAATAGTTCCCCCATCTCTTTTCATGTCACCTGTATTTTATTACCCTCATTTTCTCCCTCCCTTAGGATCATTTTCTCTCTTCTCATGATCCCCTTTCTAGTTTTAATGCATATATGCACACACACACACACACACACACACACACACACACACACACACACACACACGTGTGTGCACACACATGTGATGCCTGCACATAAATAATTTTAAATTTAGGTCATGTCTATGAGAGCAAATTTGCCTTTCCAGGTCTGTCTTATTTTCCCTCTAGCAGTCTTAGAGTTTTTAGGCCTATGTTTGAGATCTCTGATCCATTTTGAAATGATTGTTGTGCAGGATGTTAGCGTCTGCCATCAGTGTTCTACATGGAAATCCAAACTTTCAAGCACAATTATGTAAAAAGTTGTATGTTTTTGAAATATTGTGTCGAAAATTAGGGGGTTGTAGCTGTGTGGCTTTTTTTTTTTTTCCGGATCCTTTGTTCTATTCCATTGGCCCACACGTCTGTTTTTGTGGCAGATACCACACTGGTTTTGCTACTGTGGCTTTATGACATAATTGGAGATCAGGTGCTGTGAAATCCCCACCCTTGCTCTTTTCGCTAAGGCTGGCCTTGGTCATTCAGTCTTTCGTACTTCTAATATGAGGTTTAGGATTTTGTCCTTTTCCTGCAAAGGATGTCATTCCGATTTTGACGGGGATCGCATAGTATAGTTGTTTTCTCAATATTAACCCTGTCAATGCATGATCAAAAGAGATCTTTTTATCACCTAGCATCTTCTGTTTCAGTCTCCAGTGTCTAGAAGTTCTTGTTGCAGAGGTATTTTCTCTTCTTTATTAGGCTCATCACTACATATTTTATTAATTTTGAAGCCTCTGTGGAAGGAATCCCCCCCACCCCCTTCCTGACTTCCTTTCTCAGCAAGTTTTTCACTTATGTTAAAAAGCTACTGATTTTTGTACGTTAATTTTGTACTCTCCTCCTTTGCTCAAAGAGGTCTCATTTCTGGAG